AGAAGTAAACTTTTTCATATATATATTCAGTAAATATATTTTAAATGATTTAAAAATTCATCAAAATATTTTTATGACCAAACTATTCTCGAGATTTTTTTCTTATTTAAATTTCACTGTAAAATATTGATCCTCATATAGTCCCCACTGTCTTAAATTTTACAACAAAGGTTTTTTTTTTTTTTTTTTTTTTTTTTTTTGGTAAGTTTAAAGTGTTATTTCGAATTTTCAAATACTCCTTTTTCCTTTTCAATTTTCCTAAATTACTTTAACGTACAGAATAGCGCAACTCTTCTTCTGAATTTACCTTCCAACCTAGAAATATTCTGTAGCAATTTGGATTAAACAATACATGTAAGACAACTGAATGCGGGGGAAAATATTTAAAAATTTTTATAGACTTAATGACTATCTTTGACTCAAATATACGAAAGCCTATAAGTGAAATCGTTTTCATACAACATTGTAACAAAGCATCGTTTTACAGACGCTTGGCAGCAACACAACTTCAGTCGACTGATGCACGGAAGACGTTCCCTTGTATGGACGAGCCCGATATGAAAGCGAGGTTCCAGTTAACGCTGACACATCAGGAAGGTGAGTCTACACTAAAGGTCACGTGGACAGAAACTCAGACAAGTGTTACTTTGTGGAATTACCTGCTTCATCGTTTTTTAGCATCTGTAATTGAGTACAAATCTAATCCAGGGGTTTCTTTTGTAAAATTGCATTGATAACCATTTTATGGAGAAACTGACACATCAGGAAGGTGAGTCTGCACTAAACAACAAAAGGTCACGTGGACAGAAACTCAGACGTGTGTTACTTTGTGGAATTATCTGCTTCATCGTTTATTTTTAGCATCTGCGATTGAATACTACTCATCTCATACAGATTTAAAAAAAACACACATTTTATTGTGCTATTTAAGGTGTTTGAGTGAAGATTTGAAAAATTACATTAATTATAACCAAAATTTAGCTGCATTTTCTTAAAAAGAAGTATGGGTATGGTTTTTAATTGAAAGGATGTGTTTGGTTTTTTTTTAAAGGAACGCAGAATGCACTCAACGCAACCGATTTCCGAATGGCATTGATTACTAAACGTTAACGTAAACAAAAGACACTTTGCATAAGGCATGCTGTGAAGCTGACATAATATAAAAAAAAAAATTTAAATTAAGAAGGGCTATAGTTAATTTATAATTGATCACTTGGAGAATTTCTGTACTAGATTATATCCTTCATTAAACTTGTTTGTGTATTCTGAATAGAATGATTTGCTGACATTCTTCTTAATTGATTTCACCACAAATAACCTCGATTCTGTTACCATTCACTGTGAATTAGTGTAACGAAGGGTAATTTGAACAAAAAACTTGTGATTGTTCTTTGTTCAAGAGAAAACAAATTAATATTTGTAGGAAAAAAGCTACTTAATATCGTCAAATTTCTTTTTATGTAAGTTTAAATTTCATAAAGGAGACTTTTTGGCTTTATAATTTCATTTTCTTAAGACACAGTACCTTTTTTGTCTAATCATTACAGTACAAGAAACCTTATCAAAGACAATATGCGACATTGTCACGTGATAACTAGGTCAATCAAATATCAATCACTCGGCAATAAGTAGGTCACACAGCTGATTCTCAGCATCATCAGCCGTCATTGGTGGGCATTAAAAGTTCAATTATTCCACGATTCAACTCTGTTTACCATTTTTTTTATTTCTCGTAATTGATGTTGAAGATGCCAACAGACCTTGTTTTCTCACATTTATAAATGAAGATTTTTTTTCCTATTTGCACAGAAAATTGATTTATCTGTAATTCAGTAGAAATTGTTACCTGGCTTATAAATTATTTACAACTATACAATGCAACAATCCCCCTTAAGTTAAAAACACCGCAATCTCTTTTTTGAGAAATTAAAAATAAATGTACACTATATGATATGTAAAAGGTGTATTTCTCAACTAAAATAGGATGTAACTTATGAAAATATCAAATTCTGAAATAGTAGATTAACGAAACGTGTTCTTTCTTTGGTCGATATTCAGAATTTAATGATTTCCTATGACCATTAATAACCTAACAAGCTTTTTATCACATGCACTCTATAAAACAATGTTGACATTTGATTAAAAAATAAAGACTTTCCGGGTTATGCACCGAAAAATGTCTTCAAGCAGGACATGGTGACCATAGGATCCCCCCCGGGAGTACATGTATACATCCCCGGGTCAATAGATATTTTTGATGTCTGTTTAGTCATTAATTATTCTTTTAGTACACGCATAGTTACAACGTACTGAGTACATGTATTCCATATGAAAATCCACACACTAAACAGTAAAGAAAATAAAAGTAAATAAAAGTACGTAGAATTAACGCTTTATTTAATAATTTTTTTACCGAAGAAATTTTTTTTAAATATGCTCTATTTTACACATACAATACTTATGACAGAGAACAACGCTTAGAGTCGCCCGCGTCGTGCAGTGGTGTCATGATAGGATTTTTCTTTGCCAGTTTTTTTTATTAACACAAAGTTTCGAATTTTTACAGAATACAAAGCTATCAGCAACACTCCCCGGATATCGGAAACGCTTGAGAACGGATGGAAGACAGTGAAGTTTGAGACCACGCCCGTGATGTCCACCTATCTGTTGGCTATAGTTATTTCCGACTTTGCTCACAGAGAAGTCATCCTCGATAACAAATTTGATGTAAGATGTTTTATGGACCTCTGGGCTCATCCCCAACTGTTCAGCGCATTTAAATATATCACGAACCATAAATCTGTCATCAGATTTGTTCTATGATAATTGTTAACCAGGAAGTAATGATGAATGAACTTTTACCACACAAATTAAAATAATTCTTTATGAAAAAATTATACATACACAAACAATAAAATAAAACAAATTTAAAGATCATCCAAAGCCTTTAATTTAAGTTCAACTAAACAACATAGATCAACAAATGTTAAATTTGAAAACTAGACGTATGTACTTTTATATCATTAAAAAAGTAATAAAAAAACACCCTGCATTTGAAACAGCTCATATAACGTATAGACTCAATGTTAAGTGTCTGTTGTGTGCATTACTTTCACAGATCCGTGTCTGGTCTCAGCCTAACACAATTAACCAGACCGACTACGCCATCAGTATGGTGGTCCAGTGTTACCGGTTCTTCACCGAGTACTTCAACATCACTGATGTCCTGAAAAAAACAGGTAAAAAACAAAACACTTTATGAACAAACTAATCACGACAGGACAAGATTGCATTGAACAAGACAGGTATAAAATTTATACAAAACAAGACAGGACTCACAATATAATGAACAGGGTAGTATAGATCGAACAGGAACAAAACGACCTGATCAAGACAGGTTTATAATGAACTAAAGAAAAAAGGTAAAGGCAATACTTAACAATACAGGTATAGAATACACTGAACAAGACAGATATACAATACACTGAACAAGACAGATAAAGAATACACTGAACAAGACAGGTATAGAATACACTGAACAAGACAGATACACTGAACAAGACAGGTATAGAATACACTGAACAAGACAGATATAGAATATAATAAACAAGAGACAGGTATAGAATACACTGAACAAGACAGATATACAATACACTGAACAAGACAGATATACAATACACTGAACAAGACAGATATACAATACACTGAACAAGACAGATATACAATACACTGAACAAGAGACATGTATAGAATACACTGAACAAGACAGATATACAATACACTGAACAAGACAGATATACAATACACTGAACAAGACAGGTATAGAAGACACTGAACAAGACAGATATACAATACACTTAACAAGACAGAGATAGAATACACTGAACAAGACAGGTATAGAATACACTGAACAAGACAGGTATAGAATACACTGAACAAGACAGATATACAATACACTGAACAAGACAGAGATAGAATACACTGAACAAGACAGATAGACAATACACTGAACAAGACAGAGATAGAATATCCTGAACCAGAGACAGGTATAGAATACACTGAACAAGACAGATATACAATACACTGAACAAGACAGATATAGAATACACTGAACAAGACAGATATAGAATACACTGAACAAGACAGGTATAGAATACACTGAACAAGACAGATATACAATACACTGAACAAGACAGGTATAGAATACACTGAACAAGACAGATATAGAATATAATAAACAAGAGACAGGTATAGAATACACTGAACAAGACAGGTATAGAATATAATAAACAAGAGACAGGTATAGAATACACTGAACAAGACAGATAGACAATACACTGAACAAGACAGAGATAGAATACACTGAACAAGACAGATATACAATACACTGAACAAGACAGATATACAATACACTGAACAAGACAGATATACAATACACTGAACAAGACAGATATACAATACACTGAACAAGACAGATATACAATACACTGAACAAGACAGATATACAATACACTGAACAAGAGACATGTATAGAATACACTGAACAAGACAGATATAGAATACACTGAACAAGACAGGTATAGAATACACTGAACAAGACAGATATACAATACACTGAACAAGACAGAGATAGAATATACTGAACAAGAGACAGGTATAGAATACACTGAACAAGACAGAGATAGAATACACTGAACAAGAGACAGATATAGAATACACTGAACAAGACAGAGATAGAATATCCTGAACAAGAGACAGGTATAGAATACACTGAACAAGACAGAGATAGAATATACTGAACAAGACAGGTATAGAATACACTGAACAAGACAGATATAGAATACACTGAACAAGACAGGTATAGATTACACTGAACAAGACAAATATACAATACACTGAACAAGACAGATATACAATACACTGAACAAGACAGATATACAATACACTGAACAAGACAGATATACAATACACTGAACAAGACAGAGATAGAATACACTGAATAAGACAGAGATAGAATACACTGAACAAGACAGAGATAGAATACACTGAACAAGAAACAGGTATAGAATACACTGAACAAGACAGATATACAATACACTGAACAAGACAGATATACAATACACTGAACAAGACAAGTATAGAAGACACTGAGCAAGACAGATATAGAATACACTGAACAAGACAGAGATAGAATATCCTGAACAAGACAGAGATAGAATATCCTGAACAAGACAGAGATAGAATATCCTGAACTAGACATGTATAGAATACACTGAACAAGACAGGTATAGAATACACTGAACAAGTTTATGTTGTTAACCAACTTTGCGTCATCTCTTTTATCGCGATTCGTCGGTTTGAAATCAATCCGCGACAATTTATAATCGCGACCCAGGAAACATTCTTTACAAAAAAAGCAAAATAATTGAATCGCGTCGATAAATATTTGCGATGTAAAGAAGTTCGTGAAACTTGCGAATATTTCCCGAATGATATTAAAAGTTGGTTTGCAGTACAAATTTTCATATAGACGAAGACATATGTAAATTGCAAACAGATAGGAGGAAATTTTATTTTTTCTTTTCGGTCAAAATTTCATATGACAAAAACCGGGTTATCTTAAAGTGTTGAACTAATCAGGCATATTACATTTCTGGGAGTAAATATAAGCTTCAACTTTGAACTTATCAGATTCTGTAACAATTCAAGATTTACAGTTTATACTACAGTATAAGCTAGCAAAAATGACATTAATATTTTTTTTTATTTAGATGCATGAAACATTATAAAAACATTGATATTTTTATGTAGATCACGTGGCAGTACCGGATTTCAGCGGTGGCGCCATGGAGAACTGGGGTCTCGTGCTTTATCGCGAGACTGCGCTACTTTACGAACAGGGTGTGTCCTCAAGCGAGAACAAGTTAATGGTCACCCTGATCATAGCACACGAAATTGCACATACAGTAAGCATTCTAAATAACGTTTACAGCTAGAACATGAAATCATACAATAGTAGTTAGCCATAAGTTAGCAATAAGCCATTAAAGTCCAGGCTTTTTGATATCATTGACAACTGTTTTTTTTTAATAAAAATGGAACTACACTTCTTTGTTAAATTAATGGCATTTTCTGCCGAAACCAATGATTCCAACTGGAACATATACAAAATTTAGACCTATATTTCAGTGGTTTGGTAATATGGTAACAATGAAATGGTGGGACGACCTTTGGTTAAATGAGGGATTTGCCAGTCTTCTTATGTACTTCGCCATGGATGCCATTTACCCAGACTGGAACGTGGTACGGTTAAAACAAATTATATCGAGTCAGCTCAAGATTTATTCCGCCTTTCCTGTTAAATAGCATTAATTGTTTTCCTCCCTGTTTAATTTCGTTTAGTTCACGCTGTCTGTTGTCGCAAAAGAAGTGTTTCCGGTGATGGTAAAAGACGCAATGACGACGTCACATCCGGTGTCAACTCCTATCGACACTCCAGACGACATTGCTGAATCTTTCGACTCCATTTCTTACAGCAAGGTTATAATAAATCTATCCATACTAATGGGATGATATAGGCTCCCTGAAACATTTAGGATTCAACAAAAGCATTTTAACTCAGAGTTTTTATAGAAATGTTATTTCTGTTTAGGGCATGGCCATCTTAAGGATGCTCATGGGTTTTGTCGGATGGGAAGATTTCCAAAAAGGCCTTAGGGTAATATCCCAGAGAACCTTTTTTAAAATCCTTTATTTAGATCTGACAATATATTATAATGTATAAACTAGCGCTCCAATTGTTTCTATCGGATAGCTCTACGTCAACAGATTCAAGTTCCGGAATGCGAAAATGGACGAACTTTGGGACACCTTTTCTGAGGTAAAGAGCAGCCATGACATCAATCTAGCACATTTAATCTTAGAAAAAAGTGGATTTATTTTAACAACTACTCAATTGATTCGTTTTATACTTACAGGAATAAACGCTTATATAAGGTTTTTAATGCTAAATCTGTTACTCTATGTTTTCTTTCATTTTAAGGCAGTGGACTATAGATATGACATTAAGTCCACCATGAACACGTGGACCCGTCAGATGGGATTTCCCGTGATCACGATGCAGACGGACGGGGACAGCTATAACCTGACTCAGGAGAGATTTCTATACCTAGACAACATGGCCGACAGTAACACATCGCAGTCAAACGAGGACGATTACAAGTAAGCAGGTCATCATATTCACGTATTTCAGTCGGTAGAGCGCTCCCTACGTCTGGAGGTCCAGGGTTTGAATCTCGGCCGTGACTGACCTACGTCGATAAAAAATGGGTAGCAGATGTTCCTACGTCATGCGCTCGGCACTGGAAGTGAAAGTTGCGGATCCTTTTGACGAGATTTTAAACACTGAGGTCCCTTGTCACGGCAGGCGTTGGCACGATCAAGTTTCCCTCACTGCTTAATGGCTTTGAGTGCCGAGTAAAGGTCAAAATTTGAAGACCTTCAACGTTCTATGGTGACGTCTCTATACGAGAGAAAAAGTCTCTAATGGGATCGACGTAAAACTAAAAACAATTAATCAAACATTGATAGTATAAAAAAAATAATTGTTTATTCCTAAATAAGGGGGTATTAGGTTTGGGAATTAAATGGGTTTAGGTTGTTGTGTTGATGAACATGAAGGCTGAAGATTAACATGATCGACAGCTTATGTGCATTATAATGTCAAACGAATAAACGTTCAGGATAATTTCTACATTATTGTTTACTTATTGCTCTCTCTATTCTTCTCTCCCCTCCGAGACTCTCTCTCCATCTTCGCCCTCTTTTTTTCTCCCCTCACACCTTTCTTTCTACTTCTTCTCTATTCTGTTTCTTATACTCTTTGTCTAGATCTTGGCATCTCTTATTTTTTTTAACAAAACATCATTATTTAGATTAAAATGAAACCATATTTAATCATTGCAAGCCTATAGCCACTTTTGTTCTAAGCTTATGAGAAAACAATATTTGTATATAACCGGAAGTAATTATTTATGATCCTACAGATGGGTGGTACCGTTTACTTATATCACGGAAGATGAACCGGAAGTCCAACTGGTCTGGATGAACAATACTTCAGGTAAAATAGGCAAATATATCACTAGATGAATAAATGATAACTTAGAAGAAATTGTATTATTTTAATTTACCTATACAAGGGTGGATTAACCTTTCTTCTCGCTGTATTTTATGACGTTTCAAATTAAAAGGATGGTCATAAAAATAACCATAGATGAAAATCAATTGAAGTTGATCTTCAGTGTCTCAAAATGATGCAATGAATATCATGGGTATGTCGAAGTGATTTGGTTTGAATAAGTCCTAACCACTTATTATTTAAATATTTTATCATTGAAATCTTGATTTATAGGATATTTCGAAGTTTTCCTCAGCCAAATTGAGATAACGAGCTTTGACTTTAATATTTCAAAATATTATTTACAGAACCCTATGTGTATTTTTAATGCCTGGAAAAAAAGAAGTCCAGGATACTTTACTTCAAAAATTGTAATTAATACATTTATGGATATCCCACTGTTGGCTAAGACCTGAAATTTATTTTCCCCATTTCCCCCAAAATTTGTTCAGCATGTTTGTCAAAATTCACTGCATGGACTTATCTTTGACAATGGGGATTTTCAATTCTGCTTAAACATTGCTTTTTAATGTTGTTTAAAGCAGGAACAAGCAGGGATTTAAACTAACGTCTATAATGTATAACACGAATAAAAGCATAACAATAAATCATATTTAATATTTAGACATAGCGAAAACTATTAAACTATATAATTAAGACTTCGAAATACGATGCTACGCGCAGAGAAGAATGCATTTAGATATTATTTAACATTCCAGCAACTATGCTAGAGCAATTACCTTCCAAATTTCAAGAAACTCGTGAACAATTGTGTTCCACTTTTATTTAATTTTCTATTGTTATACTCCTTTTGGTTTCAGCTACAATTCCTCGGTCCACGGACTCTTGGATTCTGGCTAATTATGACTACATGGGATTTTACCGTGTTAATTATGAAGATAACATGTGGGGGAAACTTGCAGATCAACTGAACAGAAACCACACCGTAAGTTATACTGCATACAAGGAAATTTTTACCCTCGTTTCATTTTCGCCTCTTTCGCCCTACCCTCGTTTGGGCGAATTTCGAACGGCAAATTCAAAGAATGCAGTTAAATTTTTTAAACAAAACTATAACTAAGCGAATGTAAAACGGGGAAAAATTATTTGCAATTAATTGTGAAAGGGCGGAAATTACCCTGTATACAGTAGTAAGACAACCTGTTCTGGAACTTATAAATTCGAAGAAATTTTTGTCTCTTTAGATATTATGTATGCCTAATAAATGTACCGATCCAATTGTATGTAAATTAAATTGACTTTAAAAACTACATGTAATACTAATGATTATTTTAAATTAACTTTACGTATATTGTGATTTAAAATTGTGTTGAGACCACTCCAATGAAGAAAGGAAAAAATACATCTAAAATAAATTTTAAATAAAAAGTTGTCAGAGGCAGAAAACGCGATTTTTTTTAAAGATATTACAAATCGTATTTAGTCAAACTCCAATTAAAACGCTTGCAAACTCAACCATTTATGAATGTCCAAGATAGTTTTATTTGCTAACGGCCCGACTAAAAATTGTACTTTTATTTCATTGTCTTCTCAAAATTACTTTCTACGTACTTGGAATAAATTTTCTCGAAATATCATGGGGTAATTCAAATTTTAGTATGTACATATTTTATCTAACTGCAATTTTTGGATTTTTCAGATTTTCCCGGAGGCAAACAGAGCCGGTTTAATTGGAGATTCATTCAACTTGGCGAGGTTTATAGCAATGATTTGATATTATCTTGTTAAATGATAAATCGATGATTTTTTTTTTATTAGATTTAAAAAAATCCACATATTTAGTAAACATAAAGTCTTAACTATTGATTTTAGGGCAAAATTACTGAACTATGACGTTGCATTAAAGATGACGACATACCTTAAGTATGAGAGGGGTTACGCCCCTTGGGTAGCGTTTTTGGATTCTGTGGAATATATCAAGAGCTCGATATCAAAGTCAGGGGCATACGTCCTCCTACAGGTAATACCAATTGTTTGAAGTATTTCTCATTCTACTTAAAACAGCTTAATTAAGGAATCTATGTTTGATTAATAAAAACAATATATAAGGAGCATATGTCCATTTTATAGGAAAGAGCTTAAATCAAAAGCATATGTTCTCCTACTTGAAAAAAAAAAATTTGAGAAATATGGAAAGGGTTTATTGTAAAAGATAAAAGAGCCTATACCCTTTCAATAATAAATATTATTTATTTACATGTACTTTATTTCGTCCTTTTAAATACTGTGAAGTATGTCTGAATGCTAAAGATTTCTCTCAGAGTCATTTTAACAATTGTTCCTAAAAATATGTTTATATATATACAGTAAACCAACTTTTATCCGCAACAATTTTAAGTCGCGTTTCAAACCAATTTTTAGGCCTTCATTTTTATACTGATGTTCAATTACTTGATCGACACATACAGCTCATGGCCAGTGTAAGTGACCAATAAAAAGGAGATGCTTTCCAACCGAAAATTAAGTTTTACGAACAATATATCTTTAGTAACTATTTTATAAATTAATAAATTTTTAAAACGTAAACTTTTTAATAGATTAGAATAGAACATGAATCTTTTGTTTAATATGTACTACAGGAATAAAATAAAACTGTTAGACTAGTTATTTAAACAGGGAGAAAATCACAAATTCCTCTGAGAACAACATTGATATTCCCAAAGACTGAGGAAGCAAATACGCGATACTATATTTCTTTTCCCTGTCAATATCATTTATCCTCTTTTAAAATGAAAAATGACAGTCATTTACCGATCAGTGTCCAAATCTATCAAGGTCACTCGGAAAGACCTCGGTCATTATCGTATCTCCTTTTATTGGCACTGACAGGGCCATTTGACTTGTGTTCACGTTATTTTATTATCTATGCATTACTGTAATATTTGCTGTTGATTGTACATTTTCGGGTATTGATTTTCTGTCATTTCGGCTTTTAGAAATATCTTCTTGACCTCGTGGCGCCAGTGTACGATTCTATAGAGATGTCAATGGACGGGATTCTACCCGACAGGTATGAGCTGCCAGATATTTAAGAGGTTATCGAAAGTATTAGAAGAGAAACATGCAGTAAATTGCACAAATGATTTAACAGGTCGAGACCACTACCTTATATGGAAGGCACCTTTCAAAGAACTTGAAAGATCACACCCGTTCGCCAATCAAGTCCGAAAGCATACAACTGCGTGTTTACGTAAAGAAACGGAAATAATGAAAAATAAAGCATGCATTTAATATTGTTGTTTTATATAATTAATAGTTACGCAGTAATGTACATTAAAAACTTTTTGATAATTAAATAATAATAGCGCACATACCTAAACACACGTATAGAACATATGACGTCCAAGTTTAGGCCGATGTATTATAAGTTCTTCATAATTTTCAAGAAATGAAAAAAATTGTCCTGAAAATAAAAATCAAGTTTATTTTCAACACAGCTGAGTATATGACCTTTTAACATTTAAAGTCAATTTACATGCAAATTTATTCTGACGTCAGAAAATCTAGTGGTCTCGACCTGTTTAATATACCTAAACAAAAGAACATATGATCCAAGTCAAGAATTCATAATTTTCTAAGAAAAAAATTGTCCTGAAAAATGGTTTAAAGAATACGACCTTTTAACATTTAAAGTCACAGAGGAATTACTTTTTTAGTCAAACACAACTTGATTATAAAGAACCAAATATAGACGCCATTTTTCTTCGCATGTCTAAAATCATTTTGACTGCGTAGCCTCCACAGCCAATATCTTGTTACACTTAGTCTAAAGTACTATTTATGCTTTTCTGTCCCCTCAAATTAAAGTTGTATCTCAAAGGAAATTTGTATCAGGAGAATTTTGGAATCATTTTCTGAGTTCAATAAGATATGAATCAGTCATGGTCAATATTCCGGATTATGAACGATGTTTTACTTGGGGGGAGTCCAAGCCATATTGGATCTAGTCTGGGTAAAATAAGAAATACCAAGAATGCGCTTAATACTCTACTAAATAGAAATTTACCAAAGTGCAAAGATAATTCCCTCTGTTGGAAAAAAATCATTTAAAATTTAAAGTTTATTTTTTTTTAATTAGGAGGAAATTAACATTATAGAACTGCGCAGCTACAGCATTCACAATAAAAATGCATTAATATATTTTTTTGATTCATTGAAAATGGGTACAACCATTTGTTTGCTTTTTTCTTGTCATTATCAATAATTCTTAAAATTTGATTTTTTAAGGGGTTTTCCCGAGGCCATGTGTTTATTTGTCCGCCATTCCCTGTAAAAGTTCGAATAGCATTGGTTTTAGAATAAATGCGACCATAATAACATCAAACAAAAATTAAATAATAATCATTGGTTTTTGATTCTCTTTTATTTTTCATTCATGTCTGATTTAAAGAAAAAAAAGGGTTTTAACCCCACTCCAGCAAATCGGGGAAAAAATGTTTGTTTCGCCGGGTTTTCCCCGATAATATCATTCCACGAGCACGTGGTTGGCATGTGCATATATCTGCTGTATGATGCGTTTATTACCATGATTATATTTAATTTTTTATGGAAAAGTCTTGATGATTTGTTGGTTTCATAAAATAAGAAAAAAGAAAAAAATGTCCTAAACGATGTGATTACGGCGGGGTTTTTTTTTGTGGCGATAGAAGTTATTTTCAAAGGGGCACTGCAAGGAGGATGCTTAGCATTTAATTTGAAAATGTTAAACAATATGCGGTGCATGAAAAACAAATTGTATTACATTTCTTACATTCGAAAAGTTGGTATATGTGTCTATTTTGTTTAGCAGTTAGATAGAAAAAATAGGCAGTTATAGGATTTCCTTCAGGCACCTCACAAAATAGCCAGATTGTTTGCAATGCCCCCACATTGTATGGAGTAATGTTTCTAAAAAAGCATCCTGTCTCA